TAGCAGCAGCAGCAGAAGAAGAAGAGCGTCCACGAAGTCCACATGCGCGAGAGAAGGAATTCACAGGAGTCTTTACGCCAAGTTACCTGCCATTGTTAGATTCCAGCAGTCGATACGAACGAAAATCGAATTCGAATACTGATCTCAATACCCAGTCAAAAGATATACAAATGGATACCTCATCGCAATCACAGTCACAGTCACAGTCACAGTCACAGCCACAGCCGCTTGTTGATGCAAGTACAGATACTAGATCTTTGAATGCGTCTCCAGATCCCAGAAGTCCTTCGATACCCAAACGAAAAAATACCGATGAAATTTCAATCGCATCCAATAGTAGTAGTGATGGACCACGTCGCAGAAGCGCTTTACGAAGAACATCTACTAGTTCAAAGAATACAAGTCCTCGAAGGGTTCGTTTTGATGTGGAGGGAGAAGAGGTCTTGCCAACAGCGTCGCCCAAAGAATTGGAGCCATTGCTTCCACCTTCCTTCTCAGATGATTCAGATGATGAGGCTGGTTCGGAAATGGTCGAGGACATCGATGCGCCACCACCAAAAAGAATATCTTCCTCACAGGCATTACGAGCCCTATCGAGAGGTCCTTTAGAGGATGATGGAACGCAATGGACCACCGTCGTTGCTCCGCCAGATGGATCGGCTTCGGTTGATACTTTGGAAGATGATGGTTATACTACCAATTACTTCGATTCTAGACCAACTCCCATTACACCTCGAGACGAAAATATCCCACCAGTCTCCATACCAATAAAAATACCACAACCCGAACCACAAGCTCAAGTGAAACATATAGAGGCTCTACCGGAGGACGATGCAGATGTTCCATCGGATGATGATATGTTGGATATGCCGTCTTTGCGACAAATGAGAAGTCATAACAAACAACCTGCGAGCATTCTATCGCCGAAAAAGAACGAGAATCCAGAACCAGCAATTTCCCCTTTGCAGGTAAAATCGCCAAGCAAACCACTTACACTTGAGACTATGGAACCTAGAGGAAAGGGTGATGAGAAACCAGCCAGCTTGACCTTTCAGGATGATGAACAAGAGGATTTATTCTCCTTTGATGAAAATCCAAGTCTTGGAAGCCGTCCTCAGGATGATGAAGATGAATCGGATATAGAAGAACCTACTTCACCAAGTATCGAAGAAAGCCCTGACAATGTCGAACTTTCTAAATCTCCTGCTCGTCCAATTCCTAATGATTTCAGTAACAAGAAAGTAACACCAGCTCCTGCTCCTGCACATGGAATCGTTGGCTCTTACAAAGGTCGTCCATTCAGCATGCCAGTTGTCAATGATGCAGTACATGCCAGTGCCGCGTCAATGGGTGCTATGAATTCATTTGTTGGAAGTGTCAATGGTCGCAGTGGACTTGACGCAAGCGATGTCTTGAGTTATAGAGCAAGTGGAGGAGTGGGTAGTTTTTCCGGAGCCCCAAAGAGTATGAGTGAAAGGATGATGATGGATGATTTGATGGAGGCAGAGGGAGAAAATCAGAAGAATTAGGATCTACCATTTAGGGAAACTCAAGAGCCTGGTGCAAGAACTAGGAAGCAAGCATACTGGGCGATGGGAGCATACAACGTAGGGGAAATGGGACTCGTGGTGTATTTATGTGTGTACTTTTTACAATTGCATATCTTTTGGCGTTTCACGGATGGATCATCGATTTCTACGTCATTGTAATATGACGAATGAGGATAGATGATCATAAGCATGGTATGGGAAATGGGGCGGCATTGTCTTTTTTTTTGTTTTTGAGGGGCGCTCTGAGCTTTGGTTCGGCTCGGTTACATGATTGAGCAAAGAGTTGTAGGCTGGAGCATAGTCTATATTTCACGCATGGGATTTATAGGGGAGTATGTTTGGTGTGGTGTGGTGTGAAGTGGAGTAGCGTGGCGTGGCGTGGCATGGGTTAATTGATTGATTTCAAACAGGCAGTAGATGATGAATTGTATTTCGCACTGGGTATGTATCGGGTAGATAGGTATACTTGCACTTATTTATCTACATATCAAGTACGAAAGTTTTCACCCATACAATCCATGCAACACATACTCATCTATGCTAAATGAAACCTTGTCTTCGAAGATATCTGTTTATTGTGCATTGTCGAGATGTTCAAATGATGTGATGTGATACGATTCAGATACCGGGGTTTTATCGCAGGAGGTTGATCGCAGGAGATTGAAAAGTATAAAGTAGAAGCTGTGTGGGTAGGTAGATGATGATGAGATCAAAATGACATTTTATGTGTTGGTGTACGCGGGCGTTTGTTGTATCTGTATTTCTGTTTGCGAGAGATGCAATCGCATTGTCTTGCCTACCTACCTCGGTAGGGAGTCCATATATATCTTGAATTTTTTTATCTTCGTATCTTTGTACCTTTGTATATATGCGGGGTAAGGAAATATCATGGAAAATATCCTTGTATGGGTACGGACTAGGTAGCTAGGTGGGAGGGTAGATAGGTAGATACCCCTCTTTGTCTGCTTCTTGAATGTTTTGGTGTCTTGTTTGAGGAGGTGTTGTTTGGAGGGAGGGGGAGGGAAGAATGGGTGTAAGTAGGTATTAGATGGTTGGTTGGATGGAGGGATTGGAGGGGTATATATAGTTGTTAGTTGGGATGTGAGATGAGGTGAGGTGGGGTGAAGTCATTTTTCTTGTCTTGGTGCGAGTGAGGTCGTGTGTGGGATGTGAGGTGGATGAATACGACGGATGGTAGGTGGATGGATGGCTTGAAGAGAGAGATGTATATATACCTCGTCTTCTGGGGAGTGCGTTGAAGTGGTTTCTTTGTTTCGTAGCGAGGTCGTATGTGTGGGGTATGAGATGGAGGGGTGAATGGGTGGGCCATGGGGGTATGGCATTGGCATGACATAATATTATGTAGAAGAAGAGCATCTATGAGGATTTAAAACCGATAAATTGATGTTGATTCAAGCCTTAGTTTGGGCTCTAGAGTTCCGGTAGTTTAAACTTTGTTGAGGACGGGAAGGAAAAGTATCTTGGAGACAGGAGGAAAGAGGGAAGGTGCGCTCTGTAGTCAGATTTGGACTTGCAGCGGGGTTTTGTGCAGCGGATACTCGGGACTGGGGGGGTCTGAGGGGGGAAGTTGAGGCTGGGGGGTAGGGGGTAGATGTTGTTAAACGAGGTTGCGTTCGTCCCTGATTTGTGGTCTTGAGCAATCCTGAGTTATTCGACTCATTAACTCACATATCGGGTTACTGCTTCAGTGAATGGATAGCTACATGTATGTATCTACGTTGCATGCCACAGCTTCAAGATCTTCATATGTGTGTTACATAAACAAGCTGTAACCTTATTCTATAACTCCATGGGAGGTTATCTATTGGATACGGAACTGGTTCTTTTCTCCAATGTCCGAACAAGGAAAAGAATACTTTCATGTACAACAAAATCTCTCTATGACGATAAGCTCACTACAAAGATATCTCCCTATAAACTTTAATTAAAAAGACCACACACGGTACCCCTATAGAGACACTTTACTGTACATGAAAGTACCCTTCGCTTACGATTCCATGCTCGTCATGAGAGCAAAGCCCATCTAGTGAACAAGCAAACTATGCATGGAAAGCTCACACAAAACCTTTGTGAAATCCAATATATCAGATCATACTTAGGAAGGTGTCATTGATAAAATAGGGGACGCCCCCCGCTGTACAACGATCCAAACTTTAATTTTAGACATCGTTGCGATGAAGGATCAATCGCATCCCATGCTTCCGATTCCTCTCGTTATCGTGTACATTAATGGTGCATCGAAGGTATATCAACAGTATATCAACGGTATGTGTGCTGCATATATCAGATGATTAGTTCAAAACATATCTTAGGTGGAAAATGCCTTCTCCGAGGTACGAAGAGAGATCTTTTGACAAGCATTATTAGGTTTTGGAGGGGTATATGCCCCGCTTTTCTGCAATATAATCTCGGTATACAACTTTTGCTTGATTAGTAATTCGAAGATTCCCAAAAGCTTCGAAGTTTGCTTTTTGGAAGAGGCCTATGTTGTCTCCCATGACACACTTGTCAATTGGACAATGCAACAAATTCTTCGGCTGAACATTTATATTGTGCGTGAAATCAACTCTTGACATGATAAGACCAGATACAACAGTGAATGCGTGGCATTTGCAAGCTATACGGCTCCTGGCAGTGACTAGGTAACTCCAATGCCGAAAAATAGTCGCAAGGGACGCGATGATTTATACTCGAACGATTTGTGATCTGCAAGAACTCTTGGCAGTCCGATGAAGATTCAAATGTCGAATGAATGAGCTTTTGTCCTCCATTGTTTGCGCATACACATCCACCCAAACTGCTATTTGCAGAATTGTGTGCTTGTTATCAGCAAATAGAGAAGGTTATTTGATGATGACGATTTTGTAGGTCGGGAGTTTCAGGGAAGAGAGGATAAACGGTGTGAGTGCTGGATGGAGTAGGAGATGTGGGTTGAAATGGACGCGGTTGTTTTTACTCGTCTATGCGAGGTTGGATGACAGCTTGACTGGGGATATGTATGGCAGGTGGGTATTACCTCTTGCTTGTCGATTGCTGAGTTTGATTAATTTTCTCAATGGAGGGAGATAGAAAGAGGACAGGAAAGGATTGAGATGGGAAGAATATACTCGAGTATATAAGTCTTCTGTGCTCTCATAAAGGACATGAATTTTGAATCCTTCAATCTTTACATATCCTAGTTTCCATGGCCTTTGTTTGGTAACTAGAAAGCTTGGGATGAGCTTCAGGTATTTGGTTTCAGTCTTAGGTTTCAGTTTTGAGGGTTACAACTACTGAAGATATACGAGTTATTGGAGTTAAGGATGTACAGCCGCATTTTACATCGACTGCTGGACATACAGCCGTTACTTCATCCCAATTTATTGGGATTATCTTTGCACTTTCTTATGGACCAAAGTTCAGAGTTGAGCTATATGAATATCTTTCAAGATGTCGCCAGCACTCTTCGATGAAAGCAGACCCATGGCTATGTCACTATTATTCTTAGGTGCTTTGGCATTGGTTATTCTAGCCTATTTTATTAGAGCCATACTTTCTCGACCCCAAAAGTTAGATTTTCCACTCGTGGGAAAACCAGGTTCTGTCAACTGGCACGAGTCATTTCGTGAAGGAGCAGCGAGAGTAGAAAGATCTCCTTCAGCTGATCCTCCATTGGTATCCCAGTATTCTAACTCACAAATTAGTACCCTAACACTCCATTCACCCTTCCTAGCGATCCTCCTGTGGTTGTCCTACCCCATTGCACTAACGAGGAAGTCCGTCTCTTCCCTAAAGAAAATACGTCCTTTTGGAAGGAAATTGAAAGCATTTTCTATACGGCTCATATCTTTGGTAGGGGTGCATCTGTTGTTGTCAAAATTGTCAAAACTGATTTGATATGTTATGTTGTATCAATTACAGGTTCTCTCTAAGATGAACTGTATTATATATTAGATATAGAATTTGGTATATGCGAGTTTTGAACTAAAGTGATTTTGCTTCAGAAAGTATTGAGGATTGTAGCACTAATTAGTGGGAGAGTCTTCTTGATTGAAATGAAGAATGGCTTCAAACCAGTATTAATTATACAACAGATTGTATAAAAGCGAAGAATACTGTGGTTGAATGGCCGGCATGGACAAGATATTTTGTAGCACTATTCCTGCCAGAAATCAAGAAAGTTCAATGGCATATGAATAAGGCAGCAGATTTGTTGAGACTGCTTATTGATGGATGTATTCGGAGGTTTAGCGAGGGAAAAGGACTGGGCGGAGAATCGGGTGATGGATTTGAAGACGACCAGGGAGCATTTGTTATTTGGATGATGAAGCACACAAGTCCGGAGCTTAGAGAGAATCCTCACAACTTGGTCGTAAACCAGTTGACTCTATCATTCGCTTCAATTCACACAACAAGTTCGGCTATTTGTTATGTCTTTTAGATCTCGCTTCCCATCCGGAATTTATCGCACCTCTCCGCGAAAGAATCGAACAGGTGATCGCAGAAGATGGATTTGAAATTTATGGCAGCGGAAAGGAATGTTAAAAAAAAACAGTCATTGACGAAACTGAAGAAATTGGATAGTCTTTTGAAAGAGAGTCAGAGGCTGAGTCCCCCTAGTATGAGTATTTAAACCATTATTTCTTCCAATCTGCATCGAGGTATAATATATCATACAAAAGAAACACACAAACTAACAAATGCCAGCCGCAAGCCTCCGCGTAACAACCACTCCCCTTCACCTTTCTACCGGCCACACCATCCCCAAGGGAACAAGCGTGGAATACGATTCCCATGCAATCGAATTGGCAAGCCCCAATATCTCTTTGCTTCACCACGATTCTTCTACTATGCCCAAACTCGATCCGCCCAATGTTTTCTCTCCCTTCTACTTTTCTTCGCCGCGTGAGACTCCGGGAAATCAATCCAAATACCAGTATGTGACAACGAGTAAGGACTCAATAAATTTTGGTCATGGTATGTGCTCTCTATCTCCTGTCAACTTCACCTACATACAGTCTCGGAAACAGAGAATCTCCATGAGTATCAATAACTAACACCCAAATAGGTAACCACGCATTTCCAGGTCGTTTCTTTGCAGGGGTTGAACTTAAGGTAGTTATAGTGGAATTGTTGAGAAATTAGGACTTTAGAAATATTGAGGATACAGAGACGAAGGGAGGTGAGAGACCAGGAAATATTGTTCTTGGTAATTTAATTCATCCGAATCCGGTGGCGCAGCTCGAATTTAAGAGAAGAACTTAGGTGTTGAAAAGTTGGAGAGGGGTGAGGAGTAAGCGGGTATTGGAAGAGGGAACGTTGGAGGGAGTGAAAGAGAGCGGGGAGATTGAAATGGATACCATTTTTTGATCACCAGTTCAGTTTCTATTTTACTTTCATCGTGTTAAATGGTTACAAATTATTCCCACCAGTATAGTTAGATAAACAAAATTTTATGTACTCTTTCCAATGATACAGTCATCGTCGAACGTCAAAGGTTTTGAGGGAAGATTTTAATATCTCACAAAGGGTGTGTTTTCTAGACTAGGTATATGATACCATTTGTTCGTAGCTGTTATGTGATGGTCCAGCTACCCAACCAAAACCCTCACTCCCCTCCCACTACTCGCCGGCACAAAATAATCACTAGTACACTCCACATCCCCTACGTTCGTATCATACAACGTCAAACTCCCATCTCCACAATTCAACTCTCCAATAACACCCTTGACACACAAATACAGCTCTGCCCATGCTAAATTGATACCCAAACATTGACGCGATCCTTTGCTGAAACTTACGATGTACTTTGATAGAGATGGGTTTTCGAGAAAGCGGTCTGGTGAGAATGTGTTGGGGGAGGGAAATATGTGTGGGTCGAGATGTTGAAGGTAAGAGGACATGGATACGGGGGTCTGAAGTGGTGTTAACTTTGGCGGAGTGATGGAATGGAGGAAAGGTAGGGATGATAATTTGGATTGATGGGGTTGATGTGAACTTTCACGATATCTCAAATGATTTCAATCTTCCAATCATATATTCAAGAATCGAAACTTCTTCCATTGCAGAAGTGTGACTTGAGCCGAAATTCTAGGGGGAGAAAAAAATGAAAGAAAAAGTGAATCAGGAGAAAAACATACACCAGAGGGAATTTCCCACTCATGAAATTTCAATACTTGATCCGGGGATATCCTTTGCAAATGTGCCACGACTCCAAAACTTAATCTCAGCCCCTCTTGTATCACAGCTGTCAAATAAGGCAACTGTTCTAATTCCTTTAATCCATTCTTTCCCTCCAACTCGGCAAGAAGCTTCGATAGAATATCAGGGTTAGCGAGGACGTGGTAGGCAATAACAGATAAGGTCCAAGCTGTTGTTTCAGTACCGGCTCCTATGACCGTTTGTCCTTCTTGCCAGAGACGAGCTACTGATTTCTCGTTTGGGGGAAGATCACTGGAGAGAATTTCATGGAAGATTGTCAGCTGGGAGGAACGTTCATGATTAGCGTTCTTTCCATTGATGATAGCACCAATTTGAGCTTTCATTCCCTAGAATTTAGTCAATACCTTCAATGTTAGAAAAATAGTCAACTACATGCTCACCATTTGAAATTCCACAACACTAACAGTCTTCGGATCAAGAAACCTTATCAACGACAATGGCATACACTGCATCAACGTGAAAATCCAGGGGAACACCTTTGTAACATGTGATATGTTGCCAATATTTTCAATCGCATCGTGGAAATCCGTATGAAAATCGTCAGAATTCTCAATGGAACTATCTGTTCTTCCCAACGCGTATTCCGAAATGACATCAAAAGTAAAACACGAAAAGGCCCACGAGAGATTAACCGGCTTCGTAGTGTCTTTGTACGAACGGAGCCGACGAACAAGCAAATCTACATATTTCTGAATCATGGGTTCGAGGCGGAACACACTGGCTTTGGAAAAATAACGGTTCATGGCTCCTCGACGAAGACGGTGGTGATCGTGTGAGACAGTGCCAATCATCGATTCGGAATTACCAAATTGCTTGGTATAGTAAGGATATTTATCACGTCTCTTCCCACCAGCGGCATACAATTCATCGTAATAGTCTGGATCACTGATATGAAGCTCCCAGGGATTTATACGTATTATGGGTCCTATTTGAGAAGTATCAAGCTCATGTTAAACAATTGGATCAAAGGACTTACCATATTTCTCATGTAGCTCCTTAATTTTGAAGGTATACTTTCCCCCCAAGAAAATCTCATGATATATTTCATAGAGCATGGAAATAGCAGCCAACTTTGGTCCGGGAAACTTGGCAATTGGACTGAAGTATAGACGCCATATTATTCCATATACAATGTAGGATAACAAGACAGCAATGATTGGAATCAACATTATATCCATAAATTTCGAGATTGACTCCCTCGAGGATATACACGAACACAATGCTTCACCAAAACAGAGGATTCCATGAAGAAATAAATATAAGGACCAAGCAGATGGGAATCTGCAGATACCCACCATCTCGGCCTGTCAGATACCCGTTTTTCTTTCCATTGGGAAAGTGGAGGACCCAAGGGTTGGGATGAAATAACATAATCACCACGATTAACAGACCGTTGCGGAGACCGGGGTAAAATCTTCAACTAATAAATACGTCCGATACTATTGGACAATTCAGAAACTCCCTGCATGTGTGTGACAACGAAATAACCCATGCATATGCAAATGACGAAGCCAGCATAAGAGTATTGGCTAGGTCTCTTTCAAGATACCCGGAAACCAATCAATAATGCTTGTATGGTATCCGGATTGATCAATACCGAGACTATTTTGTTCCGAGTGAACGTGTCAGGGTGCAAAAAATGAAGGATTTTATTCACCGTCGGGTCATCAGATCACCAGACAAAGCAGGTGATTTGGGGGAAGTCGTTGAGACTTCCATAAGGTACCTTCAATTCCACATCTAAAACCCTAAGAGTACATACCATCCAATGCAATGCCATACGATTCCCTATCCTGAGAAATCATCTTATAAAATCCAAAAACCCAACCGAATTCTAGGGGTTTCCTAGATATACAAATGCAGCAATTTAGCCCGCATCAATCTGTTATACAGAAGCGCGATTATTTCTTCTTGGGCAAGTATTTGATGCCCTTTCTAGGACAAGTTCCTCTCCCACCTTTTCCAGCTGGTGCCGTAGCCACAAATTCTCCTAACTGCAAACTTCCTTTGACATTAAAGCTATACCATGCCTGGTTCAATCTACCATTCGAACAACCCAATACAACCTCACTTCCAGTAACCGCAGTCAATGCCGTCTGGATCTGATCCTCGGTGTAAGTAGCCGAATAACTTGGCACAATTCCCGCCTTCTCGAGTGCTTTATAAGTATCCAACTCTTTGAATAGCCCCACAGCCCTTGTAAAGAAATCGACGACTTCATCACCAGCTTCGTATTTGTCGCCGTAGCAAGATGGTGCGAGAGTATTTACACATGTTCCATGTTTGTTCATCTCATGTTCCCAAAAGGTTTCGGCGGATCCCCGATTGGGGAGCCAATATTCATGCATATATGCGAGAAGATCAGTTTGGGATGCGGCGGTTAGGATGGAGGTTATGTTGTGGTATTGGGGAGTACTATGGCAATATGTGGGATAGGAGCCATCGCAGAGATCAGGCCTATGAGACTTGGTAAGCTTTTAAACATGTGAGAATTGATGGCAGATGAACAAACCAAAGACCATGAAGAGTCCAACTGTCAACTGGCCCTATTGCAGGACTGTAATCCCAGAATTGAGTCTGGAGAAGTTGGCCACCGGGATAGACGAAGCAGCAAGAATCGGGAGCGGCGGTGCTGTTGTGGCAGGAGAGAGGAGAGGTTGATGGACATGACGGTGCATTTCCAAAGGGTATGTAGGGTCTAGGAGCTGCGACGGCCGATGAAGCAGATGAAGGATTATTGATTATTGGTATTTGTGATAGGAGACCGCCTGCAAAGGAAATGGCTTTGCGAATGGAAGAGACGGAAGAAGTTGTGTTGGATGCCATTTTGGACTGACTGAGTCGATGATTGTACGTTGATCGATTGGTTGAGAGGAATAAGGTGGTAAAAATGGATTTGATGATAATCTATTATGAGAGGAACATGTATAGTATTTATGTTGTATTTATATTGTATATACTCCGATGGAACAAAAGAAAAGGAAGCATGCTGCTGCGGATTCCCTTCCCTTTGAACCTTCCCCAAGCTCAGATAGCACGCAGGTGAGCTACGTAAAGTGCTAAATTAAGCGTGCTAAGGGACTGATAAGCACTTGGAGATGGCATGTGATAAGATAATTCGTCGATAAGCCCCTGTAGATTAGTCCATGTGCCCCTGAATGTTTCACCATCACTGAGTTGTACACAAAGAACGATCAGGTACCACCAGTACTCGGCCAAGTGATAAACTCAACGATATCAATGGATGGAATTCCTGTGCCTGTATGGAATATACATTTCAACACATCATTTTGGGGAATCAGTCCTTGTACTTGAGATGTGATCTCGATATAATGATCAAAATCACGATGTCATTTCTTTACCTACGTTGATTATCTCGAATCACACATAAATGTAACACAATTCTCCATTCAGCCCTCCTAGTGTGTTCATCAAATCTTTCAACGGCACAGGGCCCGCATTATACCCAATATCTTGTAGATCCTCCAAGGTGGTGTTTCTACTAGGAGGGACGTTACTCAAGGTGATCGTTCCTGAGACGGCATTCTGTCTCTTTGCTAAATCCTGAAGTTGCCATATCCACCAGACTCTGTCTATCATACCGTGATGAAGATAGAAAGCTGGGTCGCCTGGAGATGTAAAGAAGTCCTACATGTATTATCGTTAGTACTTTAGATCTTCAGGGGAGGGCCCAGAGAGGAAATCCACTTACACCACCCGGATCACCACCCACGGTGTAATGCCCTCCAGTATGAACGCCCCATTCTCCTATACTGAACAAGCCTTGCATGACAGTCTGGAACCAATATATGTCTGCATTTGAAGGTTTTGTGATAAGATCGTAAGTGTAGTTGGTTTTCGTAACAGCAGCACTATGAACGTTGACATCGCGGCGTAGGCATCGTGGATTGTAACCGAAGCCGTCGGCTTGAGGGTTCACTGGCGTGCCGGATATTGTTCCAAAGACTGGGCCAAGGTGAACAGTCATACTACAAGAACATTTAGCATATTGATATCATAATATAACCAAAGAGTTATACTTCTTGAACGGGCCTGTGGTAACACATCCACCACCGACACCAGGCGGGATAATGTCAAATGGCGCCGGCGCGAGATTGATAGGAACACCAGTATGGTTGTAATACAATCCATTGCCGCTCATGCTAGTGGGAGTCCCGTCAAAGAGCGGGGAGTGTATCGGATCATCGGCGTATCTGCCCCAGTTCCAATACTGACGTTCGTCAGTGATAGGCTATGGGAAAGTTTAAAGGATCGAGGAAGGGTTGAGACATTTGACGTGTGAAATACCAATTGTGGGTGATGGAAGACAGATGAATTGAAGACTTACAGGTTGATATCCTTTGTATCCACATTCTTCACGGAGTGCTTTTTCGTACGTATGAATATAATATCTATGCCAGCCCAGAAAATTGCCCTATATCATCAGTTTGGACCACAGGATCCTCAGATATAGCATGTACCTACTGTAGCATGAATAGTAAAGCTCTGATTCATATGCGCAGCAACGAAGTCATCAAAGCGACTTCGAACACCCGGAACAACTTCAGAAGGCGTTATGGGCTTTTTGGACTGTAAACAAAGAACAGCATTTGTATATGCAATTCTATCCGCTCCTGAGAGATCGCTCCTGCAAAATATTAGGTCTGGGAGCAACGGGACATCATTGTCACAGTCACCTTACCATTCACGACGCTTTATGGCATTCTTGATCGTGCAAGTGTTGTGTGGATGATGTATAGCTTGATATGCCGCTAGTTTCGCAAGACCTTTTGCTGCTAGTTTATCTACTGCATCGGGGGCATATGGCGGATACGAATCTGCTTCAGCTACATCAACATATGACTGAAGAACAATAAAGGCTGAAAGAACTCCAAGGAAAAGAAAATGCATATTGAAAAAGAGTAAACCTAGCGGGTTTGATAGCAAGAGCAATTATAAGTGCCATTGAACACTATTAATACTTCAGTATTTTTATTCTCCTTCTTCGTCTGACACGGTTATGAGTGTAATTACCTCGAAACTCTCCGGTCCGTAGCCGATTCTTCGGCTTCCAGACTCAAGAATGGGATGCTTTCGGGCATTGAAAGCTTTAGACACTCTTGGCAAAGCGAATGGAAACATTATATGATGGTTTGACAAGAGCAAATGGATTTATGCAGATACAAGCATCTGAAGTCTGATGAGTGATATCGAATAATACTTGTTGAGGCGTAATATTCCCCCTCAATATCCCCTGAATTCATTGGCGAAAGCTAAGCACTTGCATTGCTTACTCCATACAATAGGATTCTACAACTAGAAGCCGACACACATCCACAACCTTATTTCACCGCAATCAATAGCATTTTTTCTGACAATCCTATCCTTGGAGGATGATTATCGAGTATAGGATATGAAGCCCGCCTCCGAACAAGTGAGCCTCGCTGTGCGATTGTCTTTCTCGGCAAAGTTCTTTCTTCTGATAAAGTTAGTATCTTGGGTATTTATATCGCCAGAGTAAGTTGTGGTGGAGTTGAAATGTCTCAGTGGCTACATCGCAGAAGTGCCACGCATCTAAGTCATCACATTACTTACCCGGCAGTTTTCCCACATATAAGCACAGTCAGACTTTAGTTTAGACGGTTTATGGTGGCGTAAAAGAATGAGAATTCTGCAGAATATTCCCGCATCATCAACGTCTATTCACCTCTCGGGAGAGTCCATAGCTGGGCTAGGTCAATATATCAAATTCTTAGTTGTGTATCAGAAGTGCCAGGCGGCATCTAATTTGCAGGAACTTCAAAACAAAAATTGGCATGAATTTTACAATTGCAATGAGCGGTGTGTCGTACAATTAGATTTCTCTTTCCATCAATGAATTTAAATTTACAACAGAAGAAGATTTTCTGTCACACAGAAGAAACGATGAGATGGAAGACCTACATTTTGATTGCATGGCGTCAAGCCAAGTACATAATCTTAGTAAGCCATAAAATGTGTCACGTGAAAGGCTAAACTCCCACCACTCATCACTCACGTCCGTTCTACCAAACATGAATGCTTGTTTTGGCAGGCGGCGGGGATGATTTGATATTGGCTAACAACTTCCGGCTTTATCACAACATCTTCAACATAAGGCGATATTTAAGAGGCCAGGCAGTTGGCTTGCTTATCCCACCATGGTCTTTCTCGTGGGATCTCGATCGTTGAGTCTCCATGTGCAGAAATCGACGTTACGACCAGCTACACAAACTTTAGTATGTTGAACCCTGTCCACCCATGGTTCTAAGAAAGCTAATATCTAACCACCTGTAGTTTCGTCAAATTCCTCTAGGCTGCATACACACTCGAGATTTCCATTCTTCATTCTTCAGCTCCGTTAATCCAAATTCGGTGCTTCGCAAATCACCTCTACCGAAGGTTATCTCATCAGGTGGCTCTCGCCCTTTTTTCTCATCTACTCCATTAGCACGTGGTTCCAAGTGGGCACAGCGAGAGCAACATGCCAAAAGCAAACATCAAAACAAGCATACACAACATACTCAAAATGAACACCAACCCATCGATCCCACTCCGACAATCAAATATCGCAAACCCCGTTCTAGCTACCCACTTGCAATTGTCATTGCTGCGGGTTGTACATTCGTAACCCTCAGCTATAACCGTTCTCCATTCGTTGACTTTCCCCTTCCCGGTTTCATTCCCAAACTCACACCAGAATATTTCGACAGAAATTTCGTTCTTTCTCAGCAGAATATCGATGAGGGACGAGTCCATACACTCATCACCCACAGCTTCATGCACCAGACATATTATCATCTTTTTGCGAACATGTATTGTATGCTAGCCATGGCTCCTTTGGTCAACCCTCTCACCTTCGTAACTATCTGGGCTGGCGCTGGTGTTACATGTTCCCTTGCCTCTCTATACATATGGAAGCACGGTCTTCCATTCAACCAGAACAAAAGCTCTATAAATTCTATAGATCGGGGTTGCGGTGCATCTGGCAGTTTATCAGGCCTAATTACCATGTTGGCGGTAAAACATCCCAACGTGTCTTGGCAATTCATGTTCGTACCCATAGGGATCCCTGCATGGGTTTTAGTAGGAGGAGGAGCTGTCTATAGTATTCTGGCCCTTAATAACGGGTGGCAACCGGGAGTCGGCCATGCGGGACATCTTGGGGGTTCGGCATTTGGTGTCTTGGCTGGTATTGTCAGTAGACGATTTGGCTTGAGGTCATATTGATGCAGTCTTTATGGAGAAATTGATGGCTCTACACAAGGTTTACCCTATACGGATTTGTTCTCGTCTCATCAATATAGTAGACTGTATGTGAGCTTTCATTGGTGGGAACAATTTAATCGAATTCGAGACCTGGAAGCTTTTCATCGTCAAACTATTCTTCGAATGAACGAAAAGCCTGCTTAGGTATACAAGAAGTAGAACGAAGCATGAGACCGCTATATTCGTATGCTGAATTACCAGCATCAAAACTAGGTGAAAAGGGGAGATGAATCGAAAAAGAGTCACCCAATGTTCTGTACCTCCTCTTCTTTCGCAACACCGGCATAGCAACTATCGCCGCCATCGCCACCGACACCCACAATACATAATTTATACCATCGCACTTCAATTGCAAATTATACATTCAAGCTTCTTCATCCGATTGAAATCAATCTTTAGACTTTTATTGTCATACTATTATTGACATATCCTTCTCATTTAACTCCATGTCTAGCCAAATATAACTCTAATTCCGAATCGATCTTAGTTGTTTTAGGATTATTATTCATTATGTCGTGTCCTCGTCTCTTGAAGGCGTTAAACCAAGACTGGTTCTTTTTTCTTCTCCACTGTACCTCCGATAACTCTCCCCTTGACCTTATCCTCTCCTGTATCAAGCTTGGCATTCTTAATCACCAAAGACAATACCACAATCGGTGCACTCACACAGAGCGCCACGATGAGCAATTTTTGCATAGTCTCTTGATACGCCCTGTTGATTGCAATTCTCTCGGGTGTTCCCATAGGATACGCGAGAGCGTTAGTAATGCTATTGTAAACGGCCTTGCTATCGATAGTGGAGGAGTATTTAGCCAATTTCTTGGGTATATCTTGGCCCCAGATAACGCCAGCAATGGCACTTCCAACAGCACCGCCCATCTCTACACAAGTCAAGTAAACGGCCGTTGCGACAGCGACGTTTTGATGACTGGGAACGGAAGCTTGGACAGCGAGTTGAGCCGGGACGTTGAGCATTCCTCCACCGATACCAACGGCAATTTGCGTGCCGATGATCTGCGCGATAGATGAATTTTCCCTACGGTAATGAAACATGAGTCCGATGCCCATCAGGTAGATGAGCGATCCAGCTGTAATGTACGGTTTGAAGTATTTGGTATACTTGATGAAGAAAGATATGATGACAGACGAAATAGTTGCAGTGAAAGAAAACACCTGTGTTACGTGGCCGGCAGCGGGGATAGAGAGATCTTGGACGACAAGAAGATAGGAGTAGAAGTATGGTTGAACCGAGAGGAAAAATGCCACTTGGAAATATTAATACGAGAGCTGGCTAACAGACCAGAGTAAAACTTACTAAAGTAGAAGAATCCAATGCCACATCCTGCGCAGAATGTACGGGATTTCAAGAGACCTAGGGGAATAAGTGGATGCGGTGCAAGCTTTTTGACAGATTCCCAAGCAGGAAAGCTGATGAGGCAAATAACCCCTAAAACGATCATTGCGATGATATCTGGGCTAGCCCATCCATTCGAGGCCTTAGAAGCAATGGTGAGCGGAATCAGAATAAGCGCAAACGCCGCACTCAACAGGATCATGCCTCCAATATCCAAGTCGTTCCAGAGAGTTGTTATGGTTGCAATCGGACCCAATTTTTTTAAAGGCGACGGAGCAGTGAGGCCAGCCTTCTTTGCTTTTCTATTGTTGAGGAACAAAGACAATGCCAATGGTAAGAATACGAGTGGCAAGATTATACACCATATGCCATAACCCCATCTCCATGTTGTAGTTTTAAGAATCTTGTCTCCAATTGGTGCACCAATCCAAACAGTGATCAAGAATGGAATCTGCGGCAAACTAGACCATAAAGCACGATTGAGGAGATTAGTCGTATCAGCAATGAAAACTTGCTGGAGGATCTGAAGACCGGTGGAGCCAGCTGCATAGAATATCTGGGCTGCGGCATAAGTTTGGACGTCATTGGATATGGCCATTGTAGCGCCGCCGATAATGGCGAGAATAATCGAAATAGTGAAGGCTTCGAGTCGACCAAATACATCAGCGGTTTTGGCCATGGGCGCTTTAATAACAGCTATCCTGAATCAATACATGTACACAATAGGTTAGCAGTTACGGAGCTCACTTACCCATGACGACGCTCTGAACGACCAGTACTGTTGAAATCAAAGAGTGGTTGTTGAATGAGCTCGTCGCAAAAACAGAGAGTGACATGACCACTTGTGATTCGAGTGAAGTGTTGAAAGAGATGAGAAATATTCTGGGATTTTTGTCAGAACGCCGAAGATCCATCAATGTCATCTCAAGAAATTTACCCGATATATGCTATGATTAAAGACCATGTCGTCCAGGTCATTGACACGGCTTCGATGTTTTGTACACCAGCTTGGGTGGCATTTCCAATGTCATTATGGGCAGTTTCGATGTCTTTTTCATTCGGGCCTGGAGAATTTGCTCCTGCTCGAGCTTCAGAGTCTATTACCGAATCCTGTATCTTGGATATGTTTGTAGAAGACTCCTCGGAGCCGACATTAGTTTTCTGCACCATGCTGACGGATGTCGATGGTTTTTGAGGTTGTGATGCGTATCAAGGGCGAGAAACAACGCGACGGAAATCGCGAACCATATTGGAAGGAGTAGCAAACCTA